CAAGAGGAACTAAAGAGCCACTTGATGAAGGGGAAAGAGGAGAGTGAAAAAGCTGGCTTAAAACTCAGCATTCAAAAAGTAAGATCAGGGCATCTGGTCCCATCACTTCATGGCAAATAAATGAGGAAACAATGGAAACAGTGACAGCCTTTATTTTCTTGGGCTCCAAACTCACTGCAGATGGTGACTGCAGCCATGAAGTTAAAAGACACTTGCTCCTTGGGAAAAAAAAAACTATAACAAACCTACACAGCATATAAAAAGCAAGAAAGCTATGACAAACCTATACAGCATATAAAAAGCTGAGACATTACTTTCCCAACAAAGATCCATATAGTCAAAGCTATGGTTTCTCCAGTAGTTATGGATGGATGTGAGAGTTGGATCATAAAGAAGGCTGTGTGCCAAAGAATTGATGCTTTTGAACTGTGGTGTTGGAGAAGACTCTTGAGAGTCCCTTGGACTGCAAGGAGATCAAACCAGTCAAACCTAAAGGAAATCAGCCCTGAATATTCATTGGAAGGACTGATGCTGAAGCTGAATCTCCAATACTTTGGCCCCCTGGTGGGAAGAGATGACTCAATGGAAAATATTGTGATGGAAGGAAAGAGCCAACTCATTGGGAAAGACTCTGGTGCTACAAAGATTGAAGGCAAGAGGAGAAGGGGACAACAGAGGACGAGGTGGTTGGATGGCTTCACTGACTCCATGAACATGAGTTTGAGCAAACCCCAGGAGATGGTGAAGCACAGGAAAGCCAGTGTACTGCCACCCACAGGGTTGCAAAATCTCAGACTAAGTGACTGAACAACAACAACAAAGCAGGTGCTGGACCTTCTTCACAAGATGAGCACTTCCCTCCACCTATGGCACACTGGGGAGTTGGCCCCATTCTAGCTGGAGTCACAGGAATATCTCTCCACCTCTCTAAGCCCCAGTTGGTTCCCCTGCACACAAGGGCAAAGGGAGAACCAACCCTTAGGATGAAGGCGGGGACTAAGTGGGTCCTTCCTGCAAAGTTTTAAAGTGCTTTCTGGGAACCTGACCCCATGAAAAGTCTGCTGGAAGGACTGTGATTATACTTAGTCATCATGTTCCTCCTCCCCTCAAGGAAGTCTCTGTCTCAGTTGTCTCTGGCCTTTGACCTTGGGCCAAACTAATTCCCATTTGCAAGGTGAGTTGTGAGAGGTGCCCTGTCCTGGATGAGTGAGAGCAGGGGTCCCTGGGAGTGATCAGTAGTGCCCCAGGCACTCAGATGGGGCTGGTTGGGCTCATTCATTCTTGAAATATACAGGAAGGCCCACAAGGTGCAGGCACTTTTCTAGGAACAACCATTATGTAGTATATTGAGCAGACAGCAGTCCTGCCCTCCAGGGCTTCAGTTCTCCCAGGGGTCACACTGTCACACTGGCCATCACATCTGAGCGTGTCTCCAGTACTGTCCACGTGATGCCTTCCTGGCGTCCTCTAGGTATGGATGCATCCTCGCTAACTCTTATGAGGACAGTGGACCCCTACACCAGCTGAAAATGTGAGTGGGGCTTTGGTTCAAGAGGGAGGGACTCAGTTTTCCAAAGAACAACCAAGTGAGATGTGACATGGAGGAGAACTGGCCTCTGAATGGGCAGGAGCAGAAGGCAAAACGTCCCAGACCCCACAGGGCTGCCCGGGAGCTCAGTGTGGAAGGAGGGCCAGGTCTCTGACTCTTCTGCCCACCTGACTCCCCCCAGGGCCATGTCCACTATCCTGGGCACCTAGCTGTACCATTAACCTGAGGGTTTCCACCAGCCCCCAGAGATTCCCTACCTGAGGATGCTACTGGCTTAAATAGAGCTCAGCATGCCTGACTCAGACCTGGAGCACCAAACACTACATCTCCTGGCACAGCTGGAAACCCTGGAGCCCACTGAGGCAGAGGGGGATGTGGTGGGAGCAAATGAGGAAGGCGGGGGGGGCTGAACCACACAGAGCGCAAACTTCTGAGGCTGGATCTGGGCCAGGAGCAATGAGGAAGCTCAGATCACTAATGCCCTGGACTGCAGTCTGGGAAGACTTTCTGGGGTTGGCATCTTTGAGAGATCATTGAGTGGCAGTGAGAAGCTTTCTTTTATGTTTTTGGGAGACACTTGGAAAAGCAGTCCTATTGATGTTTGGAACTACAGCACCAGCTCCAGAACAAGCTCTGGAAACCTCTCCAGACCTGGAGCCAACCACACCTCTACTGCCCACCAGAGCTCCAGAGTTAGAGCAAGTCCATTTGTGGTATTTTTTTTAATGTATACTAAATTTTTTATGATATAAAGTTCACTTAAAATTTAATAGTTTGATTATCTTAGATTGTACATGTAAATTACAATAATTTCATTCACAATGTTACATAACCCTATTAAATGTCTATTTGAGAACATTTTCACTCTTTTCATTGCTAAATAATATTCCATTCAGGAACCAGCACATTTGGCTTTCATCTGTTGATGGACATTAGAGTTTTCACCTTTGGGCTCTTCTGAATAGTGGTGCTCTGAATACTTGTGTACAGGCATGTGAATATGTGTATTCACATGCTTTTGGGTATTGATGTAGGAGGGCAATTTGGGGATTGACTGAAAACTGTAGGCTTGTCCTTTTGAGAAATTGCTGAAGCGTTACATATAGTGGTTGTAACCATTTGACAGAGAAGGCACTGGTGACCCACTCCAGTACTCTTGCCTGGAAAATCCCATGGACGAAGGAGCCTGGTAGGCTGTAGTCCATGGGGTCGCTGAGAGTCAGACACGACTGAGAGATTTCACTTTCACTTTTCACTTTCATGCATTGGAAAAGGAAATGGCAACCCACCCCAGTGTTCTTGCCTGGAGAATCCCAGGGACGGGGGAGCCTGGCGGGCTCCCATCTATGGGGTCACACAGAGTCAGACACAACTGATGCGACTTAGCAGCAGCAGCAGCAGTACCATTTGACAATCCCCAGAGTTTAGGTGTATAATTTCCACTTCTTCATTTGTATTGCAGTTTCCTCTCTCTCCATCCTTCTTTCTTTCTGGTCCCTCACTCTAAGGAACAATCCTGTATATTGCAATTTGCCATATGCAGAGACATCTGTGGTTTAGCATTAAGACCATGACAGAGGAGCTCTTGGGTCCTGACTCAATGAGCTCACAGTCCTAGACCCCAGGAAGACACTGGCAGAGGCCTCTAGGTGAATCATGGTCAATTCATGGTCCACAGATTGTGTGAGATAATAAATGTTTGTTGCTTAAGTCACTCAAGACTGGCTAATGTTGTCACACAGAATGGACCACTCACACAGCCATCAAGCATTCAGGCCCTGGCCCCTCCCCCCCCACTGTCCCCTAATGTCCTTCCAAGCTCCCACCAGCCACACTAGCTTCCTCTGGCTTCATCTCTGGACGAACACATTCTGTGTGTCCATACACTTGTGCCTTCTTCTAGGATAATTATCCCCAGATGTGTGAATGGCTGGCATCCTCTCATTACCCTGCTGGGGACAGACATGTCCCCTCAGTGCAGCCCCTCATGACCACATTGTGGCACCTCCTGTTTTTCAACATAGAACTTGCTTCCTTCTGTGTTTCTCCACTTCCCCCTCCAGACTGTGACCCTGGTGCTTCTTTTCATCACAGCCCCCACTGAATGCTCAGGGCACAGCTGGTAATTGAATAGATAAGAGGCTCCATTCCCTCACTGAGAAGCTCGGATGCTAATAGGACGAGGTATAGGCCAGGTCAGGGGCAGGGGAATGTGTAGGAGTGCAAGGGACACTCTCCTCGCCCCAGTACTGGACACTTCACCCCTTTGATGGGAACCACTCATTCTACACACCAAGCAGGGGAACCACAGCACAAACCACACCTCTGAGAGACTTCAGGACACCAACACTCCTTGGGCCCCAGGAGGGGATGTGAGAGGATCCACAGGAACCGGGGGCTTTCAGAGGGACCTTGAATAGGCCCTCCACCTCCTCTTGTCCACTTCAGCTGTGGGGTGTCTAATTCCCTTCTGAGGACTCCTCACCACAGCCAGTGCAGATGTTCTGACCTTGATTCCATATGAGGTCCAACAAGGTGGCCTTTGCCTTAGTCCAAGGAAAAATGATGCATGATTCTCTCACTGTTGCCGCCCCACGGTCCACCCCTCGCCTGAGCCCACTCCCTGCGGCCCCTTCCTCTGATGCGTGTCAGTGCATGCTTGTGCGCACAGCCAGAGAACCTCCTCCACAGTCCAAAACATCCTGCGGTCTTAGGACCTGTAATCCCATGGCAAACTCTGTGGCAGGGAGACAGCCCTAGCCTAGGAGATCCTAACTCTGCCTTCATCTCAAGACTCTGCCCCTGCCAAGGCTGATTAGTAGTAAAACACACACACACACACTAAAGAAAACTTCACAGGCTAAAACGTATTGACTGAAAATTTATAGAATCAATATATAATTTTGGTACCTATGATCTGACTCAGTTGACCAAGTAGAAATTATTATTCTTAAAGAAATCTTACAAAGACAGAATCTACAGTCATGAAATTATGATTAGGATAAGAAAACTTGACATTAATTTTTTTTTAAAAGCTGATATCAAGTCAAACACGTTAAAGAAATGTAAAATAAGGATATTCCAGCCAGGAGCCCTGAGGCTGACAAACGCCCCTCCCCGCCCCCACCGGCCCTGGAGTGAGTGCGCAGGAGTGAGCGGCTGCAGGTGCGAGTGCACAGGCGTGAGCGGCTGCAGGTGCGAGTGCACAGGCGTGAGCGGCTGCAGGTGCGAGTTCCCAGGCGTGAGCGGCTGCAGGTACGAGTGCACAGGCGTGAGCGGCCACAGGTGGGAGGGCGGAGGCACAGGGTCGTCTGAGCTCCCAGGACCGGTTCTGAGGGAAGGGAGATTGGGTTGGTCCCCACTGCGAAACGCCCCGGACCGGGGAGCAGCGCAGACAGGCGTAATTGCAGCTCTACCTGCAGCCCCTCACCGCGCGCCCCCGCCTGCCCAGCGACCAGCGGCCCCCGACTCCTCCAGCCTCGAGGAGCATGAGCCCCTCTCGATCCTCGCTCTGGTGTCGCTGCCACCGGCCGCAGGGTGAGGACGCCAGGCCGGGGCCCCAAGTCGGTCGTGGAGTGGTGGGCGCCGCGCGCGCTCGCACCCCTCCCTGCTTGGCGCCCCTCGACCGCAAGGGGCGGCCTCTGGTTCTGTGGGCTACGCCTGGACCAGGTCACCGCTGGCTCGCGCGTTCGGGACAGGGAGGTGCAGCCGAGGAGCCCGATGTTGGGGCCGCGGGGTGCACGTCGGGCGCGGTGGGTCAGCAGGTGTGAAGAGGTCTCTGCTCCCAGGTTGTGTGCGGGTGATGGGGGCGCACAGATAGGGGATCCTGTTCGCTGGCCGCTGGCAGCGGGTGCTCAGATGGGACTCCGTGCTCTTTCCTAAAGCCTTCTGGAGGATCGGCTACAAAAGTTTAAAGTTCACTTTCAGCGTTTTCAGGCTTTATTGAGGGTCGCTGACTCTAAGAGCGCTTCCTGGAGGGAAGTTTGTGACATACTAACATCTAAGCAAAGTTTGAAATAAAACGATTCCCGCCTTTTTGCTTTCGGGTATGGTGAACAGTTTTTCTTGATTACGTTAGGCTTTTCAACGACTTCTGGCGACTTTTGGCGAAGCTGCACTGCTCTTAAGTTAAATGATGACGGTTTTGTCGCTAAGTCGTGTCACAACTCTTGCGACCCCATGGACTGAAGCCCTTCAGGCTCCTCTGTCCGTGGGATTCTCCAGGCAGGAATACTTGAGTGGGTTGCCATTTGCTTCTCCGGGAGATCTTCTCGACCCAGGAATTGAACCCGAGTCTTTGGCATTGTAGGCAGATTCTTTACCAACTGGGCTACTAGGGAAGCTCCTAAGTTAAATGAGCATTTAAAAAATACTTCTTTGAGCAGTTACCATAGACGCTCAAATATTTGAGAATTCTAGTTATAGTAATGGGCATGGTTTCTTTGGTTTTTTGTTTGGTTTTGGGTCTTTGGTTATTTTTCATTGTTGGTTGGCTGGTTTTTGGATTTTTTGGGGTGTGTGGGTCGGGGTAAAGTTTGCATTAGGAAGAGATGATATCCAAATCAGGAGAAATGTTTATTTCATGGTATTCTGGTATACAGTGTTGCAGTTTAAAGTATCTAATCCTGGTTAAATCTCAGATTGGCTTCAGCAAATGGATATTTTTATTGAGAATAGTTTGAGTTTGTCCTGTGGGTTTTTTATGTTTTTTTTTTTAGTACAATCTGCTTATTTAGCATGCTTCAAATCATAATAGATTGTAGGTAACACTGGTGATTGGTGCAAGGAACAATGCTTTGTAATACAGAGATGGGTTGTCTTTTTCTACAGAAATTTTTTCTTGAGTTAGTAAATTTCCATGTAAAATTTTCAGGAGTGACTTTTGCTATAGCAGTTTGGTCTCTGTAATGAGGAATAAAGCATATCATTCCACTGTTGAAGATAATGGCATATATTATAAAGATAGGCATCTGGTACATAAAAGGAATTCGAGCTTTGAGTTTGGTGAATTAGTGTCCTCAATGAAACGGCTTATCTCTTCAACGAGAAGAAGAGTGATAACCACATGGTGATGACCAGGTTTCTTTCCCTACACTGACCACCAAGAGGAAGGGGAGGAGACAGAGTGATTTTCAGAAGAATTGACGTTCATTTATCAACCATGTACCCTCATTCCTTGCTGTTTCTTAATTCCCAGAGAAATTAAAAACGTGGTTCCTAACCAGGATATTTGAATGGGAAAGGTCCTTTCAGTTCCCAGGCAAGTAACTGAATCCATTGTATAAGCGTTCATCTGTCTGTACCTTGGCAGTAACACTGAGAAAATCCTCTTCTCTAATGGATGAAGTGAGCAGAATAGGAGGGTGGTGGAGCTTTTTGGGGCAAGTTTTCCAAAAGTTGGAGCAAAAGTGAATCACTGTCTTCAAAGGAACAGACTCATTAGATACCAGCATTTGGACCTTAAGGTCTTTTGCAACATCATGTAGCTTGTTATTAAAAATAATCCAGACCATAGAAAAATCCACGTGGTCAAATGCTTATTGGATGAAAAGTAATGAAAGAAAAAGAACCTTCTGAAGATTTTTAATATCTGGTATTTGACCCAGATCAATTTACTGAGTACAAATAACGGTCAGTAAAGAAATCTTCCGGAGAGAAAATTTAGTCATTCAGCTGTGATGTGGACAAGAAACCTGCTATTTATTTGTTAAAAATTAATCCCAACTAAAATACTTTGTTAATTAGAAATAAGTATGGATAAACTACAAGTAGTTTACTATGCTGTGTTTTCAAAGCAGGATCAAGGAATTAAAAGTTACTGAAGTTTTCTCTACAAAGTACTTTCTCAACATTATTTTTCAAATATTGTAATTCTGATTGCAGTGTGTATGAATCTCAGAGTAAAAACTGTTGAGGAATTGATATTCTCTGAGGTGAAATGACTGATTCAGAAGAGCAGGGTTAAATTGGAGAGTAAAACTGTCAGTAATACAAATTGATGTATGTCATTTTAAATGTACTAGATTGAGGGCAATTTAAGTTGATCATATAATTAGCATAATTTTGTGTATAATGGTTTATGCTAAATTACCACACAACTGCCCAAATTTCAGCAGCACAACATTGTGGTTCCCACATCACAGCACTGGGTGGGTATTCACTGTGGGGAGGCTGCACTCCTTCAGATGGACATTCAGGAACCCAGACTCCTCCCATCCTGTGCCGTCTCCATTCCCTTAGACCTCATCCCCATCTGCAGCCATCAGCAGAAGGGGGCAAGAATATGGAGAAATGCATATGGAAGTTTATGATGAACCAGCTCTCGAAGGATACAGGCCAGTTTCTCTGCTGCTGTTTTGGCCACAATTCATTTCTGTGACCACAAAAGAGACTGGGAAGACTTCCAACTGTTCTCCCCAGGAAGGGAGAACAATTAAAGTTGTCAGCAAAACCGTTAGTAATTCATTTTGATTTAATTAGTTTTCAAATCTTTTTTGGCTGTTTGCCATACACCAAGTGCTGTGCTAAGTGTGACCTGAGAATTGATTGAGCAGCATCTTGATCTTGGAGGAGTTCTGAATCCTCAGGAGAGAAGACAGAGTATGAAGTGTCTGCCATCCTAGAAGAAAGGGATTAAGAGAACCTGCTTTGAAAGTTCAGGGAATGATTCTAGATTTGAAAGCTGCCTAGAAATGATAGGATTTGGACTCCACTTTCAGAGATGAACAAGATATGATTGTGAAAGAAGCTGGCATCAGGAGCTGTAGAAACAGGTCCTGCAATACAGGGTATCTTAAAGAATATTATGTCGTCATTGTTCAGTTGCTAAGTTGTGTCGGACTCTTTGTGACCCCATGGACTGCAACACATCTGGTTCCTCTGTGTTCCACTACCTCCTGGAGTTTGCTCAAATATATGTCCATTGAGTCGGTGATGGTATCTAACCATCTCATCCTCTGCTGCCCCCATCTCCTTTAGATTCCAGTCCTTCCCAGGATCACAGTCTTTTCCAATGGCTTTTCATATCAGATGGCCAAAATATTGGAGTATCGGCATCAGTCTTTCCAGTGAATATTCAAGGTTACTTTCCTTTCAGTTTGAATGGTTGGATCTCCTTGCAGTCCAAGGGATTCTCAAGAGTCTTCTCCAGCACCACAGTTGAAAAGCATCAGTTCTTTGGCACTCAGCTTTCTTTACAGTGCAACTCTCACATCTGTATATGACTACTGGAAAACCATAGTTTTGACTATATGGGCCTTTGTTGGCAAATTGATGTCTCTGCTCTTTAATAGGCTGTCGAGGTTTGTCAGAGCTTTCCTACCAAGGAGTAAGTGTCTTTTAATTTCCTGACTGCTGTCACCATCTGCAGTGATTTTGGAGCTCAAGAAAAGATAATCTGTCACTGCTTCCACTTTTCCCCCTTCTGTTTGCCATGAAGTAATGAGACCAGATGCCATAATCTTAGTTTTTTGAATGTTGAGTTTCAAGCCAGCTTTTTCATTCTCCTTTGTACCCGTATCAAGAGGCTCTTTAGTTCCTCTTCACTTTCTGCCATTAGAGTGGTATCACCTGTATTTCTGAGGTTGTTGATATTTTCCCAGCAATCTTGATTACAGCTTGTGATTCATCCAGCCTGGCATTTCACATGATGTACTCTGCATGGAAGTTAAATAAGCAGGGTGACAATATACAGACTTGTCATACTCCTTTCCCAATTTAGAACCAGTCCCTTGTTCCATGTCTGATTCTAGCTGTTGTTTCTTGACCCACATACAGGTTTCTCAAGAGTCAGGTAAGGTGGTCTGATACTCTCATCTCTTTAAGAGTTTTCCACAGTTTTTGTGATCCACACAGTCAAAGGCTTTAGCATAGTCAATGAAGCAGTAGGAGATGTTTTTCTGAAACTCCCTTGCTTTTTCTATGATCCAATGATGTTGGCAATTTGATCTCTGGTTCTTCTGCCTCTTCAATACCCAGCTTGTACATCTGGAAGTTCCCAGTTCATGTACTGTTGAAGCCTGACTTGAAGGATTTTGAATATAACCTTAGAGAAGCGAGTACAATTTTACAGTAGTTTGAACATTCTTTGGCATTGCCCTTTTGAATTGAAATGAACACTGACCTTTTCCAGTCCTGTGGCCACAGGTGAGTTTTCCAAATTTGCTGATACATCGAGTGCAGCACTTTAACAGCACCGTCTTTTAGGATTTAGATTAGCTCAACTGAAATTTCGTCACCTCCACTAGCTTTGTTTGTAGTAAGCTTTCCTAAGGCCCACTTGACTTCACACTCCAGGATGTCTGGCTCTAGGTGAGTGCCTACACCATCGTTACCATGGTCATTAAGACTTTTTTCTATAGTTCTTCTGTGTATTCTTGCCACCTCTTCTTAATCTCTTCTGTTTCTATTACGTCTTTACATTTCTGTCTTTTATGGTGTTTTATTGTGTCCATGTTTGCATGAAATGTTCACTTAAATCTCCAATTTTCTTAAATATTATGCAGCCATTAAATTCACATTTTCTAAAATTACAAATGGATGGAATAACTACACTCATATTAAGTGAAAAAGAGACCTATAAGGTAAGGTAATTCCATTTTTAGAATTCTGTGTAAATTTAGATGAAATCATACATATATGTTGAATGAGAGTTTTGTAATTTTCTAAACTGTTTTATTAATATAAACAGAAAAGTATCATAAATTGCTTTGATTTGATAGACTAATTTCTATCCACCGCACACAGAGCTGGGTGTAGACAGGTGATCCTA